ATTCACAGAAAAATACTTTCGAATTAATAAACAAGTCAAAAAAGCAAATTTTCGAATTATATTGCAACGGAACAGATGAAAATAAGGTGGAGAAAAAATATAAATTAGGTTTATTGTAGTACTTTTTGTTAATAATCTTGAAGTGTTTTAACATTTTTTTTGTATAAATTTGATTTTGGATTCTAAACCTGAAAATCAAATTAATAATAAAATGTGTACCGAAAATCTTATACAGACCGATATACAGACCGATTCACGTAAGGTGACAAGTTTTATCGAAATAAAATGTTTTGTAGGATCATCTTATGTGAATCAGCCTCTATTTTTGAAAAAATAATAGAAAACACAAAACCGAAAATATCTGAAAATTAGCTTATTTAAAAACAGAGGAAATATCAATGTTGTAGTTTTTTATTATTTTTATTTTTGTAATATTTGTTTTACGATTTATTTATTTTTTTGAACTTTATTAGTAGTAAGTTTAAAAATTTAAAAAAAGAAGTAAAATCTAAATCGGTCAACAGCAATTTTTTTTTAACAAAGTTTATCATTTATTGTGTTTCAAGTAAAAAATTAAAAAAAGAACAAAAAATCAAATGTCTAAATAAGTGAAAGGTCTTGAGGAGTAAGAATTTACATTTAAAAGAAAGAGAATTTATAGAAAAAAAACACTCGAATTAAAAAACATAAGTCAAAAAAGCAAATATTCGAAAAATATTGCAACGGAACAGATGAAAACAAGGTGGAGAAAAAATATAAATTATGTTTTATTTTAGTCATTTTTATTATTAATCCTGAAATGTTTCAACATTTTTCTTTGTATAAAGTTGATTTTGGATTCTTGACCTGAAAATCAAATTAATAATAAAATCTGTACCGAAAATTTATACAGGCTGATTCACCTAAGGTGACAAGTTTTATGAAAATAAAATGTGTTGTGAAATCATCTTACGTGAATCAGCTTCTATTTTCGAAAAAAAAATATAGAAAACACAAAACAGAAAATATCTGAAAATTAGCTTGCTTAAAAACACTGGAAATATCAATTTTGTAGTTTTTCATTATTTTTATTTTTGTAATATGTATTTGTTTTCCATGTTTTATTTATTTTTT